AGAGTATTGGTGTGCCTAGCTAAGGTTACGCAATTTCATTCGAAAAATATTTCCCCCCCCCCTCCCCTCCAAATAGAAATCTTGAGACTACCACTGGTATATACGTAGATCTCATCTACTCCAAGCTGAATCATGGAACATTAGGAGGAGAATGCTTTGTATATTTTTAGGTAGAAAAAGAACAGCAGCTTTCTAAGCAAAGAAAAAATAAAAAAAATTACAATCGTTCTCTTTTAACTGATAGACAATGCACAATCAACGGCAATAGCAGCTTTTTTGGGGTTCCCATGACTAAGATTTGCTATTGCACCAAGATTCAGCCAAACGAAGGAGACAAATATGTCAGAAGCTGCAGAAAGCCTGCCGCTCGTAAGAGTTGTGAATGGCTCAAGAAACGTTCGATAGACAATAATCACCTTATCTAAGAGTGCAAAAGATTATAGCAAAGCGATCTCTGCAGCTTTCGATCTACGCCACTAATCCGAGACTTTTTGTAGCGTAGCTTTGAGTTCAGAAAGAGCTGTCTCGGAAGATTTTTGAACTGTTTGTAATACTTGAAAGTCGTTTGCCAAAACGAGGGCATGCTATGCATTGAGATCCTAAGGATATAAGATGTGCGAAAATTTTCAACCGTTAAAAGATGTCTTCTAAATTTTGCCAATGAGTAAGCAACAACATTTACGACATTCTCACAAGTCAAGCAGTTCAAATTGTTGTTATTAATCAATTTGCAAATCTTTTTAATGCTCAGAAAAATTATCGCAAGAATAAAAGTAACCACGACTTTTTGGCATGGGCAAAGTGAGTTATCAAACTGTGCATGAAACGTTTTTGTATCTTTGAATAATCATAGGCTGTTAACCAGATTTTGCAATTTTTCAAACCTTTTTTTTAAGGATGACGCACTCAGATTTTGCCATTATGCAGGCTAGACTTAATCAAAATGAATAGGTACCGTTCTGCCAAATTCAGACATCGCAGTAAGGATAACGGTAGATATATGGTATGGAAGTTAAAGGCTAGTACAGCGTGCATCGGTTAGGTTGCGAAAGGCTTCATTTTTGCGTAGAACCTCACAAATCCTCAAAATTTACTGATTTTTGAAAAATGCTGGATTTTCCATTTCGCCTTCTTAGCCCACATACTAGCCGCCATTTTGTGAAAAAGTGGGCGCGCGATGATCAAAAAGCGAAAAGTTGCGGATTTACTTACAAAATTTAATTAACAACCTAATTCAGATATTTAATTGGGATAGTCTAATTGTAAGATAGCACCTCGCCCCTTCTATTGAAAAAGTTCTATCCCGTCACTTCTCCCTGTTCTTCCCATATAAAGAATTTTTGCAGTTAGGACAGAATGGTCCTTAGGTGTTGAAAATGTAGAAGCAAAAGTGCCATGCGCATATGTAATCCAATGAGGCTAGGCAGATTCGGCGCATATACTTGAAATAAATTAAGTTCACCTTGCTCGTTTGATGTGGCCACTTAATTATGCTATGGCATGGCAATGGCGAAAAATGAATTTATTTCGAGTTTTTCTCGCACTGCGGATATTCTTATGAATTGTTATTTGAACATATATTAGGTCGGTGCAAAAGTAATGGCCGATTTTCCAAACCTTTTTTCAGGGAAACTTTTTTCCACCAATACTTCTTCTTTACAATGGATGTAGTATACCATCGCGAAGCTGTTTCCATGCTCTATCTAACGATGCTTGAAGCGTGCTCTCATCCTCATCTATTATAAAGTTACTGAGCTTCAAATAACCGCATCCAAATTCAGAATTTCATTGCTTCCACTTTTCCGGCCAGAAATCAAGCGCGCATCAATGTCGCCGGAGCTTTGCTCAATTCTGTAAGCGTAGGGCTAGGGCATCCTGTTAGCAGTTTTTGCAAAAACATCCAGCTGTTCAGTACCTAGAAAATCAAAAAATTCTATATTCGGGACTTCGAGGCACACTGAAAAATGTTCAAAAAAGTGAGAAATTTCAAATTTCAATTTTTTTCTTTTTCGCAAACTTTTCTGTCCGACTTTTTATTGCGTTTTGTACTACTGGCTTGCGGCTACAAGATAGGCTACTTAACATTCATACTAACAAACTTTGAAGGAAGATATGAATTGTCAAAGACAAGGTTCTAGCAGAAGAACCTTTTTTATTTTTCAATCCATATTTTTCTGCCCGTTCGTGATATGAGTATAAATAAATGTGCGCTGCATTGCAGAAGGTTTGCTGCTTCTGACAATTTTTACCGCATTCGGAAATGTGAATTCTTCCAAAAGTTATAGCACGTCAAAGTGAGAATTCGCAAATCGGCCGTTACTTTTGCAACAACCTAATATAAGCTGTGTAAATTCGATTGGCAGAGATAAGTGTGAACAAGTGATATCCGTGACCTTAGACATTGATGATAGTTTTCTTAATACTACAAGTCTTTCTATCCGTGACCTTCGTTTCTTTCGTATGAAATTGTGTAAGAAAAACCGCTAGGCTGCAAAATGTTTACATATGTAACCCGCTCAAGCGAAGCAGATTTGAGGTACTTTGAAAAACTGTCAGAGCAGCCCTTGTCTTCTGATTTTGTAAAGCTAATTTCGCTAAAAATGGGAGTTCCTGCTTGATTTTCTCAAACTCCTAAAAGATGTTCACTTCAGGGATCCAAGTGCAAGAAAAGAACCCATTATTGATATGTTGAATTTATGTCATAGTCAAGATACGGCTAAAATTTAGCATTAGTACGAATTCTAATTTTGAGAAAGTACAACCGTTGAAGGGGCGGACGGGCCACCCTCAATGGTGTCGCCTTCACTCCAAAATAGCCAAGTATTCCCTAAGGGGCTCAAGTCTAGTTGAAGGCAGAGATGTCCATCTTCTCTGGACACATAAGTCGAAATAAACGAGGGCAAGCAGAGCAGGGAGATAGGAACGGGAAGGGAGGGGGAGTGAGGTAACAACAGCATGGGGAAGTATACCATTTGTGAGCCCCTAATCATTAAGCAAAAAATGCAAATTAGTAGAAAAAATAATTTTAACATAATACATATAATCGGCCCTGAGTGAAATCACATCAACTTTTACCACTGCTCTCCTTTACTTAGGTAAATTTTGAAGACAAATAGTAAAATATTCTACGAGGTTTTGGAAAGTTACCTACTTTCACATTACCTATGTATTGTTATTTTTTCGCGTAAATTTTAAGTAATAAATCTTAAGTCACAAGAGTTTCGTATAAACTTGGTCACAACATTGCCTTTCAGACACGCCTGAATATTATAGAATCTAGACGTTTTCCGTCTTAAGCCTCCCAAAAAAATAATTTTGACAAACGTCACGGCAACTCAGCTTTTTTGACGCATGGGATTTGAGAAAAAACTGTCAGCTTCAGCAATGCCAAAATTCATGCTCAGTGCCAGAATAATTTACATATCGTTCCCCATATACTCTGCGAGAATTTCAAAAAGACACATAACAAAATTAAGTACAAAATAACATTTGAAAATTTCAAAGAGCGGCTAGGAAACATATAAGGTAAAGGGGAAAAAAAGAAAAAAAAAACAAAAAAAAGGAAAACAAAAGGGTAAGTAAATCTATGTTCTGACAATATGCTGTTTTAGAAGTTTATTGAATTTTTTCCTGCACTTTTTGCCCCTCAATCGCGCAAATCGATGTTAGGAGGATAGAAAAAGTGTCAATTTTTCCATCTCTAAAGATTCTTACGAAAAAGATCGATAACTGTAATAGAACAGAGTTGATTGTTTCGAATGATTATATACAAAAATATCTAAACTGCCACATATTGAATAAAAACGATTCGTCTGGATTTTACGTGAGTAACAGTACACGTTCTTGTATAAAATTTAGGGTTCAGAAATAGGTAAGTTGCAGCAAAATACTAGTTTTCAAAGGGAATTTAGTAATTTAGTGGTCCCAATTCTTATAAATCACCAAAAAATAAAGCAAGTTTTATAATTCACAAAATTGAATTGAATTGTTTTACTATTCTAAATTCCCAAAAAGGTACACGAACTGAAAGTTCCAATTCTTACATATTGTTACAAAATGAGTAATAAAGAACATAAACTACAAAATTCAAAATGATCGGGTTTACTTAATGAAAATTTTTCTCAGATACCTTTTGCTACCGCTGTCATAAAAATCAGGGTACTGATTAGGCTTGAGTGTTAACCAGGAAAAAAGACATAGCCCCTCTAAAGATATATTGTCCATTTTTGGAATTAGTTAACAGAATTGCGGCATTGGCAAAGTGTTCTGAGAATTATAAAAAAAAAACCATTACAAGAAGAGACACTTTAACGAGTATGAATCACATCGTAAGATGTGTAGAAAAAAATCTGGCGAACCTGTTGAGAGAACGGATGAACGAACGACACACAGTATGGACAGGAAGCAAGGTCAAGTGACTACTTTGTTGTACTTTTTATATGGTTGAAAAAATGATTGCCTACAACTCTTTCATGACAAGGTAAGAAGGAGCAGTGGAGTGGAAACCAGAATGTGAATAGATTTGGCAAAAGACGGCAAAGTTGGAGGAGAGATGGATTGAAATATTGAAACACTTGAAATAATTTACAAGCGTGAGTAAAGCAAGTAAAACAGAAAGCAAACACTGGTACAAGACGCTCTAGAGAGAGGAAATTTAGAATTTGTAAAAAATTAATTTGAAATGTTGATCCGAGAGGTCGCATCAACCTTCGGTAAAAAGATTTAGGTGTTTTAAAAATGAGGAAAAGACGATTTTGTATTCCAAAAAGAAAAACTGCGAGATTCAAAGAGCTTGTTGACCCAGAAAAAAATTCTTAGAAGCTCAAAAAAAACCTAAAATCTAAAGATTAATCAAATTCAGAAGATTTCAAGATAAAATAGATGAAATTTCTCAATGAAAAAAACTTGGCTATATAATCACACAGATTTGTGAGAAAGGATGGTGAATTAGAAAAAATTCCCGAGGAAAAAAGAACGAAATTTTACAAAGCTCCACCCACTTGTTATCCGATATAAGTCGTCCGTTTCGGATAGTTGTCCCGACTTCTTCTCCCAAAACCAACATTACATGTGCTAGCGTATTTGCGGCAACTTCTCGTACCTGTAATTGAATTCTGTCATATAAAAATCAATTCTAGAAATATGAAATTGTAGAATATTGATGAGAAGGTGTGAAAGAAACCGACATTCGGAGAAGAGGCGCAGAAATATGAGAGAAGCGACATTTTCAATAGAAAAAATTGACGTTTTTAGACGACATTCACTTGACATCTATAGACCTAGTCAGCAGCCTTTGAAATATCTATGTACCATAAATTAGAAATCATTATGTGATTCATATTCTATACTGAGTCACGAGGGAATGCCCCAAATCTAGACCCCTGGCATTCTTGTCCATGATTAATTATTCTAGATTTTAACATTTACGTTCGTAACATTCGCTGAATAGGAAAACGGGCAAACTCGCTTTCCGTTCTAACTAGTATTCCATATTCCAAAAAAATACTACGGTAGTAAAAAACCGCATAGTTTTCTGGCTTGACCCTGAAATAGAAGGGGGAAAAATTTGCAAGATTTTTACCCTCATATTTTGCTAGTAAACCGGTGATCTAAAGGTGCTATTTGGGAGAGCGTTCGCTTCGGGACCCGCCGCGGATTCCCGCTATTGGAAGATTTTTAAATTGAGCTGACGATTCTTTATTAGATTGAAAGTGAACTACATTACAGAAGTTTAGCTTGAATTTTGGGATATTTCCGGTTAAAAAGAAGTAGTCACATTGGCTTTTCGGTAGAAACAAATAGTGCTAAATTTTCTTTTAAGTCAAAAACTCTTTATATTAGCAGTAGAACATCATTCCCAGTTTGATTTTAAGGTTAGAAACCAAAGAGAAGATCCCGAGATGAAGTAAATGATTGATGACAATGAGTAAAAAAAGGTCGAGCTCACATCTGTCACAGGCGTCTAAGAAAAACTACTTTTGCTTTGACATTAGTTGGGAAATTCATATATACACTTTGCTTCTCTGATCCTTTAAGAAAGCAAAAAGTGGTAAAATATTTAGGAGGAATCTTATCCCGCGAGACCATCGTGCACATTTACGAAAATAATCAAAATCTACGGGATTGGAAAGAGATGTAAACACTCTTCCAAACAACTGTTACAACTGCTTTAGTTCCCTTTTATATTTCACAGAATGACTAATCAATACTGATTAATGAGAGAAGTTTCCAGAATGTTGCTTACATATATCATAATCGATAAGATGATCCATAAGCGGCCTAGTTACATAGACTGACGATACATGAGTAATGACATTTGCACATAAGTGAACAAATATTGTAGTCATCTTTCTTTCATGTGCGTGGGGATAAAGATCCAACATTTCATTTTGGAAATCTTTCTATTGCTTAGTGATAAGGTCTAAAATAATACTGTTCAAAGCAGAGAAAACCAGATGAATATAGACACGCAGTTCAGAGCGATGGCTTTGATACAATTTAAGTAGATCTCACGATGAAACATCTGCAGTCAGCGTCATCCCAAGTTCAAAGCAAACTCACTTTTCTACTGGTACCATTCCACAAGAGTTGTCCCACTCACTTGATTACATAAAGAAATCATCAAATAATCTTATTCTTATGCATTCTCATGCGGGGAGTTTCCTAACATGCTCACGGAAGTTAAATTTTTGTGCGCACACCGTAGGATACTCGTAGATGACCTGTCATTGATTAGAAACTTCTAAAAAAAAGTTTGGATTGCCAATATGGTATCAATTTTATCTAGAGTGAGATTATTGTAAATTACGGTGCTCCCTGCATTTAAGGAACCGGGTAGGAAATGACTGTACAACATAGAACATGAATTATTTTTCATTATGCCAGGTAATTCTCGTTATGATAAATTGGGATAGGTCCACGGTGATACCGTAACAGCCACAAAAAGCTCACAGTAAGGTAAAATCAATTCAAACATTCAGAGAGCTCCTACAGAAGAAGCCTAAACAAGAATGGGATTAAAATCCGAGATAGATGTTCTCAGACGATTCATCGAAACTTTTGCAGAACAAGCAAAATTTGCAGCAGTTCCGAAGGATTTTGTTTTCTATTGCAGGAGTAGAAACGTTAAAAATGAGAACTTCCGCAGGATTTTCACGTCAAACTGGTTGAAAGCTGGAACTTCCGCAGTACTTGTTGCAAATTGCGAAAATTTCGAAAAATGCCAATGGTTCCGCAGCACTGGCCAGCCAGTACTTCCGCAGGTTTTTGAATGTATTGTCTCCTATGATGCCTCACCCAACTAAAGTGCATTGTCGAACATGTAATCCGTAGTGCAGAGGATAGTAAGTGAATCTCACATTCAATGAGCAATGTTCGAATCTCGCTTAAGTTGCCGTTGTGGTTCGCATTCTTCGGAACTTCCGCAGCACCACAATTGGGAACTTCCGCACCACGTTTACGGAAGTTCCGCAGGTGACCTGGCAAAACTTTCGCAAATGTTCTGCGGAAGTTCCGGCAGGCAATTGTTTGAGTAGCTCATTTCACTGTAATTTAGTGAGAGATTCTATATTCTTGAATCAAAAAAAGGCAAGGCATTTCTGATTGCATTGTAGCATGTGAGGCACTACCAAGTTGGGATAGAACTCTAACATTAGGAGAATGCCGAAGAGGCTGTAGTGGACGCACTCTAGCTTATCTTCGCACTTGAGATGAGCTTCAAAGAGGAAGTGGGACTAGAGAGAGAGAAAAAAGGATAAGGATGTCGGCGGAACAGCCGAAGACGTGCGTTTAGGAGGACAGGCAAGAAAAGCACTAGGGCGCAAAAGAAAAGCCACCGCAAAACGAGAAATGAAGGCGCTGGCGCGGTTCGAAAGCAGAGCAATGACGCATGACCGGACGTGCCGCCGTGCGCCCGAAACGCTCGGCAATACGAGATGAACGTGGAAGAAGCGGACACATTCGATGTAAGAAGATCTACTAAGAGGATTCATCAGTGGGCAGATGTGAGAAAATGTCGAGCAGGGCACTACAGGCAGCTTTCAAGATAAATTACGTACAAGATGTCGAAAGCGGGAAGTATGTATCTCAAGCGCTGCACTTCAACTACGAATACACACAAATTGCATTTCACATTCAGAACAAACTTTCCTATTGATCTACCTTTTCTCAAGGAACGTGAACAGATTACAGATTAATGCAGCAAAGAGGTAAAACTACCTTAATTACCTAATCGTATCATAAAAGTTCAAGAAATACTTTTGAGAATTTCATTAAAAAAATCAGAATACCTCACTTCATTGAAGCACTTCATCGAAAAAAAGCGTTTTCCAATGTACCCTCTGTTTCATGGAGGGGGGGGGGGCTTTCGTCGATTACATAGTACGTATGCAGTGCCTGCTCTCCCACGCTTACGAGCTCTCTAATCGATCAAAACTCCGCCCTCCAGCCGTCAACCCCAGTGAAACAGAGGGTGACAGAGTTCGAATCCATTTGCTATTCCTTGAATTCTTTCTCCACTGATACCAAATTTCCACAAAAGATTTTTTTTTCGAAACATCTCCACAAACCGTTAAATTTACCAGAATTATCTTTTTGACTTTTTTGATATTTTCACGGAAACAGAAACGAGCAGTAATTTTTTTGATTACTGACTGCTCATCTATTATAGTTGACTGCACGGAATTGCCCGGGCTGGACGTCCGCAAGCGCGTCTCTTGCGGGCTAAGCTTAGCACGCTCGCATGAGTCATCATAGCGCGCGTACTTGGTAGTCGCGTTGCAGGCATGATCGCGTGCGTTCAACCTACATCGACCTGAGCGATTTCGTGCAGTCGGCGAAGCAAATTTTTACGCAATATGTGCACTACAACACGTGCGGCATTTTAGAACTAACGTAATTTCTGAATTTCTAATTCGAAGTGTGTACTGCACATCACGCGCGCTATTTCACGACTGATCGCTGTTCAAAACTGCTGGATTCATTCTTTTTTTCTTTTTTTTGGCGCGTGTTTTGGCGCATATTTTGGCGCGTGGTGTGTCAACTCACATATAAAGTCACAAATATCGAACGAAGTTCCAGGCTTCATCATTACCATGATGCGTGTGATTGCATGCGTATCTTATCTGCACACAATTTCTCTTTGCTGAGCATTAGTTCAAAACCGCGTCGCCGCAATGGGTAAACTTGTGCGTTTTCTGCGTCTTTCAACGTGTAAGTACAACATTATAAGATTTTTTGAATTTTAAGGTCGTACTGGTCAGATAAATGTTGTTGTTCACACCAAAATACCATTTAACTTCTCTACTGATATTTTTTCAGCAAAAAATGAACAGTTATCCGCTGCCAACTAAGGTCTTGTCATCGGTCTCAACCGCAAGCAGGCAATTGAAGTCACTCAACCAAAAGCGATTTGCCAATTTTTTTTGCATTGAAAAAAAAAACTCGGCCATGTATGTTTTACCTATATTCAAAGTACTATATATCACGTACTTTCGGTTTTACTGCTACGCGAGAATGTTTTAAGATTTCCATTGACGCATATTCGAATGGCAATGTGGTTAAGCCGATATCCGATTGTGATAAAAGAACCGCTTTGGTTTATTTAGAAAATCTTGAGAAGTTTTTCAAAGTTTATCTTTATTAACGGTGAGATACTAAACCCGAGCATGTGCGATTGCAGACAACATGCTAGTTGCGCGTCAAAACCTGGGTTTCGTTGGGAATTTTGCATCAGACTTCTACGAGACTTTGGTAGATGTTTTCACGCTGCTCGCGAAAAAAGCTAAGGATGACATATTGGAAAAAATGAGTTCTAAAAAATCACTAAAGGCAGTATGATGTAGTGTGCAAATGCACACATTAGCAATGAGGAAATACATTCTATGTCAATCTAACGCACTTTTCATCGCAGCAACCGCCTCGCTAGAGCTTCGCGCAGTGTTCAAGGGTGTATTGTTAGGTATAGCTTTATCGTTTAGAGTCGTAACGCAAGACCCTCGCGATGCGGGTACGAAGTACTCAGGGAAAAGGAATTCTCTAATGACACAGACTATAACAATAACGAACTTGTTCTTTACGAATTAAAAATTGAGAAAATTACGAGTTCGAGCGGTTTTAGCAATATTTCAGACAATGACATGAAAGTTTAAAAATTTGAAAAATTACCTCAGCGTTCGGATCCGACATCAGCTTGCACAACGTAGGCACAAGTCGATTCGTTTGCACTTCAAGTTCATTGCGGCTGAAACGATGCAAAACTGGTCCGAATCCAAGTCAAGGTAAACTTATCCGGCTATCTGATTTCTTTTTGTTTGTTTGCAAGCTTCATAGTAGCTTTGCACTATTGACGAGCGAGTGATGGGTAGGCAGGAAATTCGCTCAACAAACTTTGAAAACCAGTTATTTGAAGCGAGTGAAACATAATGCTAAGCAAAGGGCTTCTGAGGAACGAAATGTGGATTAGCTTTCAAAGGGAGACTGAAGCTCCGCCGAACGAATTCGTACAGAGCAACATCTGGTGAGCAATTTGGCGGTCCCTCTGAAGTTTTGGAAAATTATACTAGTGGCGAATAGCTTCCGTATTTCACTAGGAAACTTTAGCCAGACTAGCCCAAGACAGAATGGGAGGCACTATAATCTAAATATATAAATCTAGATAATAAGAGCTAAGAAACTTGTAAGGAAAAACTAGTCACTCATTCTACCTCAATTTGAAGCCGCAGAATCAATGACTTTCACTCACAATCTTTATTTTAATCGTTTACTTTCTTTCTTTGAAGAGTAACCATGGACAAATTCAATCACCGTTACGTATGGCTCTCGAAAAATGCTCTCCAACTATTTGAAGTGAGAAAAAAATTCGTAGGCCTGAGGCTAACATTTTTTTGAGCTCCTTCTTATGTTTCCGTAAATGGCTGGCATATCGAGTTGCAATTAAATTTGAGAATAAAAAAAGGTATCAGTATAGACGTAGCTTATTGCGAGTTGATCACTTCAATACAGGGCTCGGCACGAGGTGGCTAAGTAAAAATGCAAAAAAAAACGAAGCTCCCTTGACTTTTGCGAATTTTTACGAAGTCCCCTTTGACCCTAGACCATATCCCTAAAAATTCCCCAAAAAACGAAACATCGACTTAAAAAATGTCGTAAATTTTCCGTCTTTTCGGCCACAAAAACGAAACCCCCTTTGCTTTTTGTTCCAAAAACGATATCCAGCTTGCTTGTAGGCCACCTTGCCGAGCCCTGCTTCGATATATTAAAGCAACCAGTAGTTCGAATATTGAACTTTTTCTTCCTCTCTAATTACTAAAGTCAAAGACTTTTAGTTCGAGATACACCAATATCTTTAGCGAAGAAAAAATTATCTTCATAAGATCAAAGATAATTAAGTAATTGGTACTTTTCCGTTATCCGGACCCATTTTTTCAAAAGGCTCTCATGAATGCGCTATTTAGTTTGAGAACAATTTTTCTATAGATTGTACGAGGACCGCCTCCCTGCCACGTGTCAGAAAAAAACTGACACGTTTTGGTCCAATTTGACATGTTTTTTTCGAAAGTATTCCCGGTGAGGTAAAAGAGCATTTGTGATCACCTAAAAGCTGTTTAACGGTTTCTGTAAGAGAAAAACAATTTAGAACTTATATTAGGACATTTATTGCTTTTAGGAATGATTTAAAAATGACTTTCTTTTCAAACTCTGTCCGCCATGCGATTTTAGCCAAGAAGGACAGTAAATGATGTCTGAAGAACCTCGCTACTGCTTGTTTCGCCGCAAAAATGATGAGAATCTATAACAATTCTCTATTCTGAGCAAGTCCAGTCTGTTTATTAATAATAGGATAACGTCATAATCATACTGATATTTATTTTTGAAATTGTTTACTCGAAAATGGGGTCCTTATTGAAAAAATCGATTGGACTTAAGTCAGTAGGTAGGGCAATACGAACTCCTGGTAAAACCTGCTAAACATGTGGATGACATGTCAAATTTTTTTTGACACGTGGCAGAAGGTTGACACTCCTTTCCTGTGAATTTAGGAGCAAATATGGTACAAGGAAAGAAGCAATATCCTTCTTTGAAAAAATGGGTCCGGATAACGGAAAAGTACCAAGTAATTTGACATAAAATGGTGAATAATTCCATAATAATCCGAGCAAGTCGTGTACCCGTTGTTTTATGTTATGCCACCTCCAGGGCTCAGCACAGGTAGCTTATAAGCAAGCTGGATATCGTTTTTGTGACAAAAAGCGAAGAAGGTTTCGTTTTCGTGGTCGAAAAGACACAAAATCTGCGACGTTTCATTTTTTTAGGATTTTTTCAGAGAATTTGGTCCAGCGTCAAAGGGGACTTGTTTTTTGCATTTTCAACTAGGCACCTCGTGCCGAGCCCTGGTCACTACAGATTTTGGTGAACTCATTAAAGCTTGAATCTGTTGATTGCTATGCAAAGGTTCCTTTAGGAGCGAGCAGTCGAATGCAGACATTTTCAGCTAACTGCTTGTGAGCAACTTGTTCAATAGTATCCTTAATTCGAACATGATATTAGGCTGTTGCATAAGTTCTGTCCGATTTTTTTGCCTCATGTTTGAAGCAGCTGTTCTAAGAGAATTTCATCTCTAATTCGATACGGTTGGTATCATTGAAAAGTGCTTTCCTTGCGCTTTCTAAAGCATACCAGAATTCAATAAAATTCTTAGTGTACGGAGATCACAGGCCTAAAATCTCTAAGTGGCCGAGGTACGTTCTATCCCTAGAAATATGTCCTTGCGAGGATATCTCCACAATGCGCCCTTCAAGTCAGGTTCTTTCATTGGCTTCGGAATAAGGGTATGGAATGCTAGTATATGCAGAAGTTCGGTCCCATGAAGAATACGTCTTGCTAGTGAAATTTATCCTCGAACATAAATCTTTGGTATAGATGTTTTACAAGCAATAACTTTCTGCGAATAGAAGTAATCGACAAGCTCAAAGTTGGAGGTGCTAGGGCAAAGCAAGAGCTAACAGGGCCCATCCACCAATTCCTTTTCGGCGCTCACGTCAGTTGTAAAACGTTCGTAGTTCATAAATAGGCATGCACACATGTGCTGAAGCGAGGTCAAAAAGTGGCTAATTTTTTGTTCGGTCAAGAAAATCTCTCGGCAGCGCAAACCCTATGGGCTCTTTTATGTTGCATAATAATCTACGAAAATTTCTCTATCCATCCATTATTAGAAAAGATGCCTATCAATTTTCATAAGGGAGCGTTACCATGTCAAAAAAGACAGATTCGAAGAAAAACGCTGCGAAGTTTTTGCATTCTTGGTTCTTCCTTAACAAAGATTTGCGCAGATCTCAATATGCATTTTTTAGCCAAGGGACTGCTCAACACATAGAAACTAAGACCTTGGAAAAAAGTTGACTCTGAAAGAAGTTATGACATTTTAAACTCAAAAATTCAAATCGGACAGAACTTATGCAACAGCCTAGTATTTCCATTTGAAGGGCCGAGCATACTTGATCTGGCAATTCGCCAAAAGTCTTCGGATTCAACATTAGCGAACTGCATATGCGTAGTGTGTATAACTTACGTGAATTGATAAAATGCCCTATTTTCTGTACATTCAAAATGCGCTTACAATGAGTTATGGACACTTAAAGTATTGCCAAATCGCGTCGCGACTGAAATCGCGTGAAGTATGCCCGGCCCTTAAAGCGTTTCTAGGCAATCGCTTATTGATCGTTTCATTTCCTACTTACTTTCTACGGAAAAGAACTCCAAATTTCCCTTCGAACCTGGCAAAAATTCGAGATGTGCTCAAAATTCAGAGCGTGCGAGAAATTGGCGGCCTGCTCATACATATTCAATTATCCGAAAAAATTCTTTAATTAATTCTTCGACCAGCAAGAGGTTTGAATAAATGAAACTTCATAATTATCTGTATCCAAAAGGGTGTTTCCATGGTCTGTATGTTAAACTTTTGCAAAATAGGAGTAGGAGATGATATGATTATAGATTCACTTACAGCTGTAAACATAAGGCTTATTCTAAAGATGAATGAAGAAACGTTTAGCAACCTGTTTAACAACTCAGACAATTGACCGGAACTTCGGAACGTTTGGGGAAGTTCCGCCGGGTCACCTGCGGAACGAATGAGGTGCTGGGAAGTTCCGAAGAATGCAAACTACAACAGCAAAAGAGAACATCGAAGCGAGATTTGAACCTTCCTCTATTGACTGTGAGACTCACCTACTATCCTCTGCACTACGAATGACATGTTCGACAATGCGCTCTAGTTGTTGGCGAGGCAACATCATATTAGAAACACATTCACAACCCTGCGGAAGTTCTGGCATTTTTCGAAAGTTCCGCAGCGCTTTCTACCCCTACGGAAGTTCCTGTTTTCATCCAGTCTAACGTGAAAATTCCCATTTTCATCGTTTCCACTTTTGCAATAGTAAACAAAACCTGCAGAACCGCTGCAAATTTTGCTTGCCGTGCGGAAGTTCCAGTGAATTGTCTGAGAAGATGTTAATTATCTTAAGTCAATGAAAAATACTCAAAAAATTTTGAAAGCTTGTTCAGCCGATGCCAAAAAGTTACGATTGTCTACACCAACATAACTCCAAAGAAATTCTACCTCGTCAGGGAAGATGAGATTTTTTTGGAGTCAACCCCTCCCCTTCCCCACCTACCCCCCCCCCCTGCCCTCCCCTGTGGTGGTTGTAGGCTTTATTGTAGCCTTAGGCGGATGAGTGGCGCCTGTTGTGAAGTATGATAGCTCCTGGTGTGTTAATAGAACACTAAGCTATTAGAGCTTTATTGAACAGACGACATGCACCCATTCGTGCAGTGGTAGAATGCTGAGGATTGAAGGCGTGGTAAAGTAGTATCACAAACATCTGGGCAATAATACACTCATATCACAGCAGGTCATGCTTATGGCATGACCTTTACGGTGCTTAGGAGAGTTAATGATAAGTTGCAAGGAAGGTGCCGACAAAGTCGGCACATCCCCCACCCCACCCATTTCAAACTGTAGTTAGTAGTAAAACCCTCGCAATGATGTACGACTAAAAGCATCAATTCCTTCGCACATCTCCCTCATCAGAACTGGTATTCAAAGGCGATGATGATTGCGCTAAACGTCAAATTCGTCTACAAGTGGCATTTTAACAATCGACAAAAAGCGTCACGCGTTCAAGACCGCTCCAATTCGGATCTCAAATAAAACTGGTTGTCCTTAGCAAAAAATTTTTTGAGGCTTGATTGCGACACAGAGAGCAAGAATACATTTCATCTCATAGATGACGGTAAAAAGTTTACGAAAAAGTATAATAAGACAAACAAGCCATTCTGCTTTCAATTTAATGCAGTTTATGGTAGAAATTTTCTACAAATTAATGAGATGGAAATTTCTGTGATACTTCAAATATTAGGTAATTACAAAAAATTGTTATTTTCTTCACCTTTCTCTGGAAAACCCTAGAAAATTCAGCAAAGTCTCATGTTTGGCATATATGGGGAGGACATAAAGGGCTATCCACTGGCACCATTTTCGCCCTCCCGAAAGGAGTTACAGTAAATATGTATATATGAAATTTTCTAACAGCAAACCAATCCCTATTTTTTTCTATGTTTTTAAAAGATCTTCCATTTTATTTTTTCATCTTTATAGATTTTTTTATGAAATCAATAGCATCAGTAGTACATAATATGGAAGCAGTTCGGGAGCTCAAGCTCTTTGAAAAGAGCTATGAAATCTGCCAAAAATAATTGGGAAACATTGCAAACAGTTCCATTTCTCATGTGTGGATGTACCAGTGGCGTACCCCCCCCCCCGAGAAAGGGCCGCGAAATTTTTTAAAGTTACTCAAATGTGTTATAAAAATGTGCAGTGGACTTGTTTCTACTTGTAAATCGGGGGCCCGGAAAAGTTTTGGAAAACATCCCAAAAAATTTTTCGCAGTGCGTGGCTAATGCCACGCACCTTCATCGAAAAATTTTTGTCGCCCCCCCCCCGAACCGAAATCCTGGGTACGCCACTGGCATGTACGTATCAAAAAATCTACAACATCCTACATGTTTGAAAGGGAGGTAAAACCTTTTTGTTTGATTTATGAAACTTTTTCCGTTAGGTGTAACAAAACTTATGTGACAATCTAAGACTATGAACCCATTTTTCTGGAACATTATTGATCGTATATAATCAGAGCTTATTTTGCCCTCCCTCGCCGTGCAGTAAAAAAACGTAAATGTTATGATGAAGACGAGTGCGATACTATTTTTCAAAGAAAATTCAAGTATGCGAAGATTTTGGCGAGGCCACCTACCTTTCGTCGAGAAGCCGCACGAAAACCTCCATCGTGCCAATGCGAACCAGGTACTGCTTGTGTTGAAATCCAGGAGACATTCGCTCCAATACGCTCTAAAGAAGCCATTCTAATAAATTTCGAACAAAAGAAGTTTTTCTATTGAATAAGGTATTTCGATGTTTTCAAAAAAATATGGCAAGCATGCCAGGATCTAAAAAAAAGCCAAATGCCTAGAGATTAGAAAAATACAATACAACCTAAGTTTATAATTACCTCATGACTGCTATGAGGTATGTTTGCAAGATCGACCAGTAGATTACTTGCGGCTTCCCGTACTTGAGGTTTGCTATCTCCCAGCCTAAAATAATGTTTGATGTTATGAATAAATCACAATAATTTCCTCTGCTGGAAACCTTCTAGAAAACAAGCTATGTAATTATCTAAATAACAAAACTGAGAAATTGAGTACAAGAGTTCTAAAAGCTGCCCTACTGATGGCAACGATCATTTTATTTCGATCGGCATTTTTTTAAAACGTCACGAGTAAAATAATCACATTTACGGAGTGTGAACACTATGAAGCTATGCGACAAATTTTCCTTTATTTTTGCGGCATACAAAGCTTTTTTCGAACTCACAGAAATGAGCACAGCTTCTCTTTCTTGTTAACTCGGTGTATTTTTTCACGAATATTTTTCAGAAATGAAAGAACAGCAAATATTAGCGCTAACGTTTTTGATCAAAGAACTACACGAAGGTTAATAATTTTTGAAAAGCGAAACGTATAGCTTTATCCTTACCTCTCAACCAAGCTAGTGACCCGTTCAAGGAGGTATGGTGCTAGTACATCACCAGAGACATCTATAGATGCTTGAAGGATTTCCAAAGACAGTAATGAAACCTAAATAAGTAGAATGAGGAAAAAGTGTGTTTACAAAAATCTACAAAGGTTCACCATTAAATTCGCAGATGCCAAACCCGTGAAATACCGATTGACATCAATGTCAGATTTTGAAGCAGAAATTACACTTTTTCATTATTTATTTTTCTATTTTTTCTCATGAACAGACATCGGAATATTCCAGCAATTCCATACGAGACCCTTCCCTTCTTTCTCCATACGTGCACGATGCCCCCTATACAGTGCTGGCCATAGCTATAAAGCCACCCTAAAAATCACCGTAATTTGCTCTCTTTTGCTCATATTTGTCTGAAAAACCACTATTTTGTGCGCAAACTAACGTCATACCATTGACCAGAACGGCTTCCAATTTCATGGATTTTGGAGGGAGAAAAACTGAAAAATTTGAAAAACGGGTTCCGAAGGTTGGTCACAGCTATAAAGCCACCTCTCATTTTCAATCAGTACTACGTTTTGTGAACCTCAAATTTTTTGTACATATACAACATCAAAATATGAAACACTAGCTGGCTTACCCGGCTCCGCCGTATCCGGACCAAACTTGTCACACATACACTTCGGGCCCTGGCGGGTGTCACAGTCCACTTTTCGTTATCGATCGATGTCGATTTTACCGATTTTTATCGATTTTTTTGCAGAGTTCACCTACAGGGCTAGGAGTTGGCACAGGGGGGGGGAAGTGAGCATGGGGATTCCGAGTACAATATTAGTTTTCAGAATTATCGATTACTTTTATTGATTTTATCGATTTTTTGTAAATTTTGACATGCGAGGCTGGGATTTTGCACAGGGGGTAATCGAGCATGCTGATTACGAACACAATATTAGTTTTCAGGATCGTCCATTACTTTTATCGGTTTTATCGATTTTTTTGTAAAGTTTGACCTGCGGGGCTGGGAGTTTGCACAGGGGGGTAATCGAGCATGCAGATTACGAATACAATATTAGTTTTCAAGATCATCCATTACTTTTATCGATTTTATCGATTTTTTGAAAATTCGAGCTAGGGGGCTGGAATTTGGCACAGGGGTGTAATAGCATGCTGATCACCCCCCTTGGGGATGATCAGCATGCTCGATTACCCCCCTGTGCCAACTCCCAGCCCCCTAGCTCAAACTTTGCAAAAAAAAATCGATAAAATCGATAAAAGTAATCGATAATCTCGAAAACCAATATTGTATTCGGAATCCCCATGCTCGATTACCCCCCTGTGCGAACTCCCAGCCCCGTAGCTCAAACTTTGCAAAAAAATCGATAAAATCGATAAAAGTAATCGATAATCCTGAAAACCAATATTGATGACGAAAAGTAGCCTATGACACCCGCCGGGGCCCGCAGTGTATGTGTGCCAAGTTTGGTCCGGATCGGTTCAGAAATGGAATTTTCTATTCGGAACATACGTACACACAGACAGACAGACAGACATACAGACATACAGACAGACAAACAGACATTCAGCTTTATATATAAGATTTGTTACACTTGGAAGGAGTCGCCTTTCAAAAAGAAGATTCGTACTGCATTTTTTGCTCCAAAATGCATAATAAGTCACATCATTTGCAAAAAACTGCTTTTTCACTGAATTTTGAAGCACTTGTTTGACTCGGATGAAGGTTCTAGGCTTTGCCGAGCCTTTGCAATGAATACAGCGAAAAGCGCTTGAGTCAACATTGCTTAGTCCCTGATATCGATAAACGAACCCCAACCTCACCTCCAGGTAGACGAGTTTTTGAACCGCAGAAATTGAGTTCTAATGCCACAAAAGCTCTGTCGCGTGCTCAGCACGTCGCTTGTACAACGATAGACTCGTGCGCATAGCTTGTACGTCATCGCAACTCTGAGGATTCTGGTTCCGCTTTGGACGCCTTTTTTCCTAAAATGTCTGCAGTTCGGTTGTGCACTCCGTCTGATCATGACTCACTCTAACCACTTCATAGAGCGGAAAACCGCTCAAAACTTCAAAATCCTACTATTCCTGACAGTTTAGTAAGATTTGACTTGATGAGGAGTTCAAAGCAGTGAAATCTGAAGTCTTGTGAGATACACTGCGCACAACCGAACTGCAGACAAAGCGTTCTAACTTTAGTGCGGCAAATTCGTCTTTGCGAAAAAACCTGACAGCTTCTGCATGAGTACGTCGCCATGCAGGCAAGGTGTCAACTTCCAACCAAAAGTTTTCGCGCGTCAGAAGTCGAGTTTTGCGCCTCAGAAGCGTGCTTACACCTCGGTAAGATGAGGGCTCGTTTATCAAGATTAGCGACTACGCAATTTTCAGTCCAGCACTTTTCACATCGTTCATTGCAAAGGCCAAACAAATCCTAGGACCTTCATCCGAGTCAAACAAGTGCTTCAAAATGCAATGAAAAAGCAGTTTTTTTGCAAATAATGTGACTTATTATGCATTTTAGAGCAGAAAATGTAGTGCGAATCTTCTTTTTAAAAGGCGACTTCTTCCAAGTGTAACAAATGTTTTATATTTTGATGTTGTATATGTGCAAAAAGTTTGAGGTTCACAAAACGTAGTACTGATTGAAAATGAGAGGGTGGCTTTATAGCTATGACCAGCCTTTGGAACCCGTTTTTTCAAATTTTTTAATTTTTCTCCGGCTAAAATCAATAAAATTGGGAGCCGTTCTGGTCAGTGGTGCAACGTTAGTTTGCGCACAAAATAGTGGTTTTTCAGTCAATTATGAGCAAGAGAGAGCAAATTACAGTGATTTTTAGGGTGGCTTTATAGCTATGGCCAGCACTGTACCTCACTGATCTTGACACACCCACTACAGTGCTGGCCAAAACTATAGATCCACTATAAAAAACTGCCGTAGTTCATCTGCTTTTCAACGAATTGATCTGAATTTTGGTACAGCTGTGTGTTCAACAGGCTTCCATCAGTGACCGGAGCGGATCCCGCTTTCGTTAGATTATTCAGGAGAAAAATCAAAAATTTCGAAAAAAGCAGGCTCGAAGGTTGGCCAAAACTATAGATCCACCTAAGATTTTTGTCCGCTAAAGTAATTCTCGACTTCCAAAGTCTTTTGTGCATATACATAGTCGAAAGTCAAAGCAGTGGCTTTAGTCCAGCTGCGACATACTTTAATAAGAAACGCTTATCTGCTCTTTTTACTTAAAAAATACTTTCACGCGTATTTTGTTCCCAAGAATGTGTTTTTATGGCTAATTTCGCAGTTTCTTGACTGGTTTGGAAGCGATAGGTCTCCATCTATCTTATAGATGCTCAGCAGTGTGAGCAGTAGAAAAAAATTCGAGTTTTCGTATTCAGAGCGCACCCGACATAGACTTAGCCGCGGGCCTTCGCTCGAATTTTTCCCTTCAAACTCTTTCTGGATTGTTGTCATGAGCGTGAACTGGAGTAATGACATTGTTGGTATGTATTAGAGTGCGTATGCAGTGGTTGCAGGTCTATGCAGATCCCATTATGCATGCTAACTGAGGACTTCATCCTGCAAAAAAGTGATTTGCAACAAGCCTCAAAGTTATTTCTGATTCTGATCATAATGCTTATGTGAGTCACAAGACAACATACAGTAGAGGGTGTATTCACTAATTAGCAGCTAAACAATGGCAAAATTCAAGGAAGGTACCATTTAGTAAGTACTTTGAGATTGCCGAACACACCGCAAGACTTATGCTTTGAAAAGGTGTTGAAATGCGACTTCGCGAACAATCGTGACTATGACTTGCAAACTTCTTTTGTGTAAATAATGCTAAATAATGTTTCTACATTATTTTGAGCTTGCAAAAATAGCGTACAGCAATTTTGAAGGCAAAAATTCGAGCGCAGGCCCGCGGCTAAGTCTGTGTCGGGTGCGCTTTGAATACGAAAACTCGAATTTTTTCTACTGCTCACACTGCTGAGCATCTTTAAGATAGATGGAGACCTATCGCTTCCAAACCAGTCAAGAAACTGCGAAATTAGCCATAAAAACACATTCTTGGGAACAAAATACGCGTGAAAGTATTTTTTAAGTAAAAAGAGCAGATAAGCGTTTCTTATTAAAGTATGTCGCAGCTGGACTAAAGCCACTGCTTTGACTTTCGACTATGTATATGCACAAAAGACTTTGGAAGTCGAGAATTACTTTAGCGGACAAAAATCTTAGGTGGATCTATAGTTTTGGCCAACCTTCGAGCCTGCTTTTTTCGAAAGTTTTGATTTTTCTCCTGAATAATCTAACGAAAGCGGGATCCGCTCCGGTCACTGATGGAAGCCTGTTGAACACACAGCTGTACCAAAATTCAGATCAATTCGTTGAAAAGCAGATGAACTACGGCAGTTTTTTATAGTGGATCTATAGTTTTGGCCAGCACTGTATCATCATGTACGGCGTTTTATTGGATCTATCGAGGCTTCATATATAAAACAGCACTGTAAAACGGGAAATTTTCGCTAAAATTTCACGAGATGGACTTGTAATTGGAATACAGTCCTGAAAAAATTTCGAAAAATCGATATTTCTTCTAGTTTTGTCGAACATTTGAAATCCAGTATATCTTGAAGAGACTAGGCTTAGTTAGTTAGAGCAAAAAAAACCTGTTATTTCGATTGTTCCGATACGAGCTCAAAATAGAAATTTCCAACTTTTTTCAAATTCCGACCGCGAAAAGCTAAAAAATTCAGCAGAAATTATTTAGAAAATTGCTAATTTTCAGGCCTACACTTATCAACCTACGCGAAATTCGTGCTGTACCTCAAAGTATTTTGTTTAACATTTTGACTTAGTCACGAAAAAATTTTGAAACATATATTAGAACAGAACAGCTATAATATATAGCAAGAAGGAAAAAAGAAGATAGAAATTCTCTAAGCATTTTTGAAAAGAATTTTCCGTAAATTTGGGTGTGAGGCTTCTAACCAATCTGAAAAATTGAGAATTTCAGCGAACTGAGCTCCATTTCAATTCCGTCGTTTTCTACAGCTTGTAAACTCTCACTTCACTTCTTCTTCCCTTTCTCGCCCA